GCGATCTTCCCTCTAGAGGGTGCGATGCCAAAATGTTGCTACAGAGCAGATGGTGGAAGTGGCTGGATTAGGCTTAAAGAACAGCCAAATAAATGGTCTCTCTGTGAAGAGTCAGAACTAGGAACTGATGAGCTGAGTTAAGAATATGTTGCAATTTCCTAAAATTGCAAGGTGGGATTATGTTCAGGAACGTGCACGAACTCAGTTAATGCACAATAATTTAATATGTTCGTTATAGTGTAGATTTTTGTGGCAACAGTATTGTTGTTTTATATATTGCTTTGAGCTTGATAACGCATGGAATGTTATTCTTTTTATAATGTTTAGAATGCTAAATAAAATGGTTCGTTGTTAATTAAAAAGGTTTTCTCTGCTAAATATATTACCATTCATCCGAAGTTATTAAACAAGTCAAGAAATAGATTAATTTCAAACACAAGTGTTGGCCATCTTCTATCTTTATGTTATGTTTTCCCTTGACATTTCATAGGTTGATATATCTTGTTCATCAGTTTTGTTAAGCTCAAGGAAAGCACTTATTAAAATTTTATGTTCAACTTATAGCAAGTATGCTCTGTTGGTAGGAAAAAGTTTCACCCTATGCCAAAACTCAACATCATCCCATATTAAAATTCAACAGGCTATAGGCCCAGTTATCTAATAGGCCAAAGTTGCCAAGAAATCCACTAGAGATGTACATCTAAGCAGTAAGGCTTTGTTTTTGGTGTAAAACAAGGTAAGCAAAATTGCTTCTATTTTCCTTGGCTTAAACGAAAATGCATGAAACTAATAAAAATGACGAACCTGAATATTCAAATTGAAAATTTGGATAATGGGAACTTATGGCATTTCCAAGGCAAAATTCTTTTAATTCAATCAGATCTTTGGGAAGTCACAAGTGGAAAGTTAGTCGAGCCTGAAACTTCTGAAGCTAACTTGACAAATAGGTAGCAAAAGATCAAAAAGCTATAGCAGTTATTGCTATGAGCATGAAATTATCATACATAGTACACATTAACAAATATCAAATTTCATATGAAGCGAAAGCTAATGAAAAACCCAGGATTATCTAACTTCTTTCTTCGAAATTAGGTAACTTACAGAAGAAGAATTCCTAACTATATCACTACTATGTAGCTTAACTGAAAAATTCAAAACTTTTAGATTCCTGATAGAATCTCATGATAAAGTGCGTGACTTAAATATGCTAAAAGTTAAGTTACTGGGAGATTCTAAAAGTCACCAATTTAAAGTCCAGGAAAGCTGCCATTTGTAAGATATGTCAATTACTAAATGTCATGGCAATGCAAAAGTGAGTTCAAAGAATGTGAAAATCTTTAGTTGCTGTAACTGCGATTGAAAAGGACACAAAGTATTAGAATGTAGGAAAAAATAAAAGTAAAAATCCTAATAAAGCATTTAAAAACAAAATTGTTCTCTCAGCATTGTGCTATTTTATTATGAAGGCACCTAATAAGCCATCACTATTACCTTCTAAGGAGGGACAGACAATTTGCATTCATGCCTACTCTAGGTTTCAAACCCTGTCTCTCTGGTACGGCAGTCAGAGTCACAAGCAATTTTCCCATCTGGGTGGCACACTTAACACGGTATTATGTGTTCCCAGTGTAAAAATGAACTTAATTTCAGTTAATTTAGTAATGCAACATAAATATACTGTCTACTTTAGAAATAGCCATGTGTTGATTAAAGACAAAAAGCAAAATGACCTTTATATTGTAAACAGGACATAACCAAAATTTCAAAAGGTAGGCTGAAATTTTAAACAAATTTTAGGCTGAAAAACAAATGGGGAAGCAAATGAAAATTCTTTGCCACGATAATGCCAAAGAATCCAAAAGCCACAAATTTAATCAATTCTTAGAAAAGGAGGAAATGCCAGTTTTCAGTCGAGTATAGGCTGCAACAGAATGTAATTGCAGAATGTGTCACTCATACCCTAGTTCAAATCCAAATTACCTTAAGGATTGTGGACAGAACTGGTATCAATGGCTGCTTACATCTGTAACCAATGCCCTATTAAACGCAGATCAGAATGCCTGATGAAGTATAATCTAAAAGAAAGCTTACAGTATCACATTTCAGGATCACACGAAGCAAAGCTTTTGCATTAACCAATTCAAACAGGAAAAACATATTTCTCCTGATAGGTAAAGAATGCATTCTTAATGGATATTCTGAGGCAAATGCATATCATGTATGGGAATATGGAACATGTTAAGAAATGCAAAGTCGTGATGTTAGATTTTTAGAAGTGCCAGAAACAGAAGGAAGATCGGAAACTTCAACAGCTGATGCACAGGAATTCATCAAATGTATTTGTAATGAAAATTCCGAAGTCGCAGATGTTGAAGTAAATGTAATTCAACGTCAAAGTTCAGAAAGAGAACCAGGAAGACCTTTATTTCTGAAAACAGGAAAACAAGGCAGACCAAAAAATATCAATAAGCAAAATCATGCTAATGTGGTAAACTAAATGGGGTTGCATGCTAATGTGGTGGAAGGCTTTGCCTATCCAAACACTGTTGAAGTTTTACCCAGACCATATGCAGATAAATCTAGAGGAGCTATGCAGGAATACAGTTCCTTAATAAGGAGCAATGCATGGAAATTAACTGATTTGCCAAGTTATAGAAAAGCCATTGAATCAAATGGGTATTTCTAATTAAATGAAAGTTCGACAGCACAGTCAGTAGGTTCCAGACTGGTCGCCATTAGGATGTTCACAAAACTGTGGAATAGATTATATAGAAGCGTTTTCACCTGTAGTTCCCTACAACTTTATATGACTACTGCTCACTTTAGTTGCCAAATATGATCTGAAGATATATCAAATGGATGTTCAAACAGCTTATTTATTTGAATGGAAAAATTGATGAAGAGATCATGTTGTAACTAGAAGGTTTTTTAACTCCTGAAGCCAAAGTTTACAAGTTCAAAAAGTCAGATTAATCAAGCGGGATGAATGTAGAACCTAAAATTAGACTAAACTTTGGGGAATATCAGATTTGAAAAGTTAATGTCAGAGAACTGTATTTATGTTAAAAAAGGAACAGATAACTGCATCGTAACTGCTATTTATGTAGATGATCTGATAATTCTAACTGAAAGTTAATCTTCCATGATACATATTAAAAAAACTCTTAGCAAAACTTTTGAAATGAGGGACTTACCAAAGCAGTGTTTAGGTATTAACATCAAACAAAATGAAAAAGTATCAGTTAACCAGATTAGTACATAAAAGGACTTTTGGCTAAATATGGTATGCAAGAATGTAAGCCTCTGTCAGCATCATTATATCCTAGCATTAAACTTTGTGAATCATCAAATGTCATTAAAAATTGTAGACAAAAATAAGTGTCAATCCTTAATCGGATCCTTTGTTTACTTAGCTGTATCTACAGGACCTCGCACTGCAAATTCTGTTAGTTGACTTTGTCTATTTAACAGTAACTCGAAATACTTTCACTGGATTCAAGCAAAAATACAAATTACAATACCTTAAATCTACATTAAATGTTAAGATAACTTATCACAAAACAAACGAGTCTTAAAATGTAGACTCAGCCTGGGCTGAAAATACTCTTGACAAGAAATCATTCCATGGTTATGGTTTCATATTGGCAGGAAGCTCGATTTCTGAGGAATCACACAAGCAAAGAATTTAGCATTATCAACTGCTGAAGAGAAAGCATAGTGTAACTAAAGCTTCAAAAGAAGCGATGCACTTGTGTTTTTCAGAGAGCTAGGTTTTTCGGAGAAGATAGCAAAACCAGCTGTATCATTACAAGCTAATCGAAGTGAAAAAAATCAGTGAAATATCCAGGTCATCATTCTCGAACAGAACATACTGATACTCGTTTTCATTACACATAAATTTACATGACAAGAACGAAATTGATATTTAGTGTGTGTCTACAGCAGAAATGCTTGCAGATATTTTAACAAAGAATCTTTGCAGGAACAACCATAAAAAATGTATCAATCTATTAGGTTTTGAACTAATGAATGCTTTTTCTTTTTTTATTCTCTTTTCAACTTTGTGAGGGAGAATGCTGGGAAATTTGCATTTCCCTTTGTGGCTATGCAGTGAAAAAGCAAGAACATATAACCTCGCAGAAGCATAGAAATGTGTGTGTGAAGACTGTGTGTCATCCCAATGTGCCTATCGAGGTGTGTGAAACGTACTTGGTTATCGGCATGGCAAGTAGCCGTCGTTCTGTCCAGTGTGGTGTGGCGATTTGAATGCATGGAATCCTGACATGGAAAGTAGTTGTCAAAGACTAGAATGGGAAGAGGAATCTAGCAGAGTGTCCTAGAACGTATTTGCATGAATTGTTGCAGCCACCTGCCAACATACGAGTCAAATGTTAATCACCTACTAACCGTTTTCCATCTTCTTCCTGTTTCATGTTTTTTTTCACATGTGACATATCCTGTGCATCAGTTTTCGTAAGTTCAAAGAAAGTACCTATTAAAGTTTAACACTCGTTAAGTATACTGCATTGGTAGGGAACCAAATTTCTCAGTGCTCAAGAACTCTCAACATCTTCCCCAAACTAACATATAACTTAATGCTGTAAAATGTGCAACGATTATCTATTGAACTTAAATTACTACCTGTCCTTCATTTCAATGAAAAAATTACATAGAACATTTTCTTCATTTCAAGAGTATCATTTTCATTCAAGAGGACATTATCTTCATATAATCAAAAACTAGAATTTTCATCCAAAATTGATCTGCTTTCAGCCATGATAATAATTCTGCTAAACAGAGCCACTTTTTCGCTTATTTCCGATTTTTTACGTTCTCTTCTTACTCAATAGATGCATTTAAAATGGGATATTTTTGTAAGTGAAAATTAACATGAATTTTTTTCTGTTTAAAACTTTCTAAATCTCTCACAATTTTTTTTTTTTTTTTTTTTTTTTTTTTTTTTTTTTTTTTGGCTAAGTGATTATTTTTTTACTTGGTAGGAATATGCTGAAGAAATACAAGCTCTGGAGAAAAATGTAATATCTCTAAAAGAAAAGCAAGGAGTATTAATAGAGCAGCAAAATTACAGGTGAATATTTTGCTTGATGTATTGTGTATGATTGTTATTATGTGAGTAGTCAATATAGTGCTAATATAATTTTGAAGTATTATATTTCTGTTAGAACAAAACTAAATTGTTCAATTAATTTGCATATACATTAACTCTTTCCAGATTTTCACATTAATGTTTTAACAGTATATGTGATTTACTTGAAAGTGTTTTCCTTGGTAAAGTATAACTTAAAAAAATAATTGCAGGTGTCTTGAAAACAATTTAGCTCTAGAAAATGAGAAGGGAAAGGATCTGATGAATGTGAGGAGAACTTTATCAGAATATATCCATTGTGTAAGTTTATAATTTAAAGATAGTACTTGATTTTATAATTTGTTATGTGTTATTTGGGTGAATAATTAACCAAGAATATAGAATAAGATGGGTACTTTTAAATGTTATTATTATTATTTTTTGCTTTTTGTTATGTGATGTTTTATCTTGCAGCTATTATTATATTCAACAAAGAACTGTCTTTTGATTCTGCAATTATAATTTACCTTCTATATCACGTGGCATTTTATCTTAATAATTGTTTCTTAACCGTTTGACTGCTACGTGGCGCAAAAGCACTGCATTCATTTGTCTTAAAAACCCGAGTTTCAGTGTGTCTTTGTTGTTTTATAATACAAAAAGAAATATTAAATTTGATTGATATTTGTTTAAATGAGAGTGTTTTATTTGACATCAAGTCAAAATATGTGCCACAGTTTTCGTGCGTTCTTGCAAGAATTGCTTAGCAGTCAAACGGTTAATGTTAAATATTAATATTTTTTCAAATTTATAAAGTTGAAAGCTTAACTTTTTTATGTTTGGGTAGAATTATATATAATGATAGTGTTACACAGATATTTTGATTTAAATTTTAGATCATGCCAAGTATACCTTAATATAGCTTTTCTTTTTGGTATAGGAAGAATTTATACAAACTTACACTATATATACATTATGAATAGCATGTCAATTCCTTTTTATATGTAACCTTCTTTTAAAGAATTATTTGAGATATTTTGCATGATTAACATTAATGGTGCACCCTGTAAAAAATCTAGACACATGTTCACTTGGTATGTTTTTTTAGAAAAAGGAAAAACTGAACAGACTTCATCTGGATTTGTTACATGCAAAAAATATCATTCAGGGAAATAAAGAAAATTGCTCAAATTTGAATTCGGAGTTGAAGAGGATAAACAATGAGAAAAAAGTCATAGATCAGGTATAGGTAGCCATTAATCTAATTTTTAAATTTAAAATAATAAGTTCTACATTGCATTCCTATAAACTAATAATTTATGTACTTGTTGAGATATGCAGATTTACTCATATGTCAGAAAAATATTGCATCCTAGTTATATAAACACGTGTAATATTGCTTTCTAATTACACACACACACACACACACATATATATTATTATTAAGTTTCATAAGAATAAATAGTAAAGTTAAATTTAAATAATTTGATTTATTCTCTCTCAGATCTGTCTTCTGCCTGCTCAACAATTATTCACTAATGCAAATTAATTTAGTTTTGGAAATTTTTAAAAAATTTTAGGCTTAATTTTTTGCATTATATATTTATTCATGGTTTTAGATACTTGCACTTAATTTACATATGCTCTCAGAATTTAAATGATGTTGTAAATTATTTCGCAGCAATAATTAATCATTTATTTGTATGCAATTAAAATTTCATAATTTAAAATTTAAATTGTAATTAACTTTAAATTTGCTTTTTATACGAATGGAGAATGTCTGTTAAATATATATTATTGTTGTTGTATTGCAAAATAAGTTTTATTCTGTTAATCTGAGGAGTGTGAGAAATTTTGATTATATTATAAACATGAAGGAATGATGTTACTTAAGCCACATAGTATTTTGGTTTTCTCTATCAATAATTTAATTTTGATGTTAGCATTCTCAGATTGACAATTTAGAAGCTGTTTTGATTTTAAGAACTGAAGTTTTGAATTTTGTTTTGTAAGCTGAGGATGCTTAAAATCTCCTTTAGATTAATGATGTTATGTCGAACAAGTTACTTAACTGTGAACTTCAATTAAATTTCAGTGTTAGAAACTGTCGGGTAGTTGATTTCTTGAAACTCACTGCGACATTGTGGTTACCTAGATGTGATCGTTTAGAGTCAAATAAATAAAATAGTCTTTCTTGTAGTTTAAACTAAAAGTAATTAAGTAATTGTAAAACGATTAATAAATAATTGAGAAAACGTAGGCCTATTATGGCATCATTTTGTAGAAGTTTGAATGTTTTAATTACAGAATTAAGCAAAGAAATGCCCTATGTTGAAATCATGGAAACGAAATGGGCTATATTTATATTGGAAGGCCAATTTCCACTGAATATGTAGAAATGGATGAGATTTTGTGGTAAGTGACAATGAGGGTGTTTTTATGTCCAGGTGTCTGCTGATAACTACGGCAACCCTAAGGAGAAGTTTTTGGAGAAGCGCAGAGGGATATAGGGGCCAGCTGTTTAGGAATATTTCGCATATTTAGTCCTGAAATGAAGATTAATTTTTATTGTGTATTATGTTTGCTTAAAGTTTTGATTAATGCAGGGAGAATATTTAATGTAACATGGACAATGGCAGTGAGGTAAATAACTAAAATTTCTACAACGGTGACATCTGGACTTCCCTAATTCAGGTCTTGTGAAAAGTTTGCAAGTACTTTAGTTTTTGAGGACTTGCCACTTCCATACCAGAACCTATGGATTACATGGATTTTTATCTCTACATCACAGATTAGTAGTAATTATAGATCATTTTATAATTTTTTCTACTTATCATTCATGTTTCATTTTCTTTAGTTGCATTTTTAATTTTATTTTCGCTTAAACCTTGCAGTGTCTGATGTACATGCTGTTCAAATTCCTATTTATAACCAATCAAAATCAGCCTTATGGTTTACTATGTGTGAAAGTATGTTTGCTTTTGCAACCCCAAACCTATAACAGAATCAATTACTAAATATAATTATGTAATTGCTCCTCTTCCTCCAGGTATTGCATCATTAGTTCAGGATTTACTTATGAAACCAGACCCTACTGATCCTTATAAAAAGCTCAAAACTGAGTTAATGAACTGATTGCGAGAATCTTCTCAGCAAGAAATTCACCAATTATTATCTGGAGAGGAATTAGGCTTTTGAAAACATTCCGATTTGCTCAGGAATATGACACATCAAGTGGAATCCTTAAATGTTCCTGATAATGTAATGTTAGAAGTATTTCTTCAGCGTTTGTCTTTGACAATTCAGTCTATTTTGGCAGCAGTATCTTGTTTAAACTTTAGACAGATCTGCAGAAATTGCCAACAGAATCTTAAAAGTAAACCCAATCCCAGGGACTTTTGCTATTTCCCGTACAGTCGATCACAGAAATAGAAAAGTTAAAACAAATGTATCGATTAAGACACAATAACACGCCGAATAATTACTAATTCAGAAGTCAAACAACAAAAATCAGCATTATATTTACAAAATTTTCACAGGACTAGTTTCGATGGTTTTACCGAACCACCATCTTCAGCTGCAAAACCACAAATGAACCAGATAGGAAATAATGATTAGATAAGATAAGAAAGCCTGGACAAGAATAAGCAAGTGGCGTCATCTGTTGGTGAAACCAGAACTAAAACATACTTTCTTTAAAGGCCGAAGGCAAATTTGGATTGGAATTAGGATCGTTAACTAGAACAGAAAGATTTTTATGAATGTGAAATGCCTCTAGAAAATCCAGTTCTCCTCCAATGGAAGAAGTTTTTTGTTTTTTGAATTATTTTTGGCAGCAGAAAAACTGAAAGTGTGGTTTTCGGACCAACAATGTTGAGCAACAGAAGACTTCTGTGTTTCCTTTTTTCTAACATATGCCTCATGTTCCTTGACGTGAAATTTTAAGGCTCTCTTAGTTTGGCCAATGTAAATTAAACCACACTGGCAAGGAATCCTATAAATACCCCAGGAATTTATATCCGGAATGGGGTCCTTCAGTATGGAACTCTGTATTTTATTGATGGGAGAATAAACAACCCAAAAGTTAAATTTCTGCAAAATATGTGCAACTTTAAAGCTAATTGATGGAAAGAAGGGAATGACAACAGAATTTTTATAATCTCCTAAAACAAGAGTGTGCCTTTTAGTGTGTTGAGATGTTAGTGAGCAGTTAAAAAATTCTCATCTCCACACTAAAAGGCACACTCTTGTTTTAGGAGATTATAAAAATTCTGTTGTCATTCCCTTCTTTCCATCAATTAGCTTTAAAGTTGCACATATTTTGCAGAAATTTAACTTTCGGGTTGTTTTTTCTCCCATCAATAAAATACCGAGTTCCATACTGAAGGACCCCATTCCGGATATGAATTCCTGGGGTATTTATAGGATTCCTTGCCAGTGTGGTTTAATTTACATTGGCCAAACTAAGAGAGCCTTAAAATTTCGCATCAAGGAACATGAGGCATATGTTAGAAAAAAGGAAACACAGAAGTCTTCTGTTGCTCAACATTGTTGGTCCGAAAACCACACTTTCAGTTTTTCTGCTGCCAAAATTATTCAAAAAACATCTTCCATTGGAGAACTGGATTTCTAGAGGCATTTCACATTCATAAAAATCTTTCTGTTCTAGTTAACGATCCTAATTCCAATCCAAATTTGCCTTCGGCCTTTAAAGAAATTATGTTTTAGTTCTGGTTTCACCAACAGATGGCGCCACTTGCTTATTCTTGTCCAGGCTTTCTTATCTTATCTAATCATTATTTCCTATCTGGTTCATTTGCGGTTTTGCAGCTGAAGATGGTGGTTCGGTAAAACCATCGAAACTAGTCCTGTGAAAATTTTGTAAATATAACGCTGATTTTTGTTGTTTGATGTCTGAAATGTATTGATCTTATTTCCTTTTTTCATGGTTGCTTGCCAAAGTGCAAAGATTGCATTAAAGAAAGATGAAGTTCCAAAAGGAGAGTTATTCTATTTGCTGGTATCATAGGTATTTTGGAAACAATTGCAGCGAGGACAAATGTACTAAACCATACTCATGGCAGGGAAAGAAAACCAGCAAAGAATAGAGGCAACCTATTTTTTGCCTCAAATTTCATGTCACCTGTTCCTTCGTGACAGGAGAACAAACGTTTCATTCTTGGTCAGTACCGGTTCTGGCGGGTCCTTACTTCTGGCAAACAATTCACAAAAATGAAATTCTCCTCAACAAACACTTTTCAGTGCTAATTCTTCAACTATTTATGTTTATGGTCGGAAAAACACTGTCTTTGGATTTCAAATTAAGAAGACAGTTTACTTGGACTTTTCTTATAGAAAATGTTAGTACACCCATTCTTGGAGCAGATTTCCTCCTTTTCTTTGAATTAGTGCCTGATCATAGAAACAAATGTCTCAAAAATTTAGGAGCAAAGTATCAGACTATAAGGCTGTGTGACAAATGCAGATGTTTATTCAGTAAAAACTGTCTTTAGTGATACACGTTATCACAAAATTTTCAAAGAATTTCCTTTTATTAGTAAATTACCAGATCCTAACCAAATTATTAAACACAATACTGTTCATCATAGCGTAACCAAAGTGGTTGCAAAACATCGTCGGTTAGCTCCAGATCGCTTAAAAATAGCAAAACAAGAATTTCAAACTATGATGCAATATTTGAAACCATTGAGAAGCAGTTATTCATCCCACTTTACATGGTTTCAAAAAAGGGAAATTTAGAATGGAGACCTGAGGAGATGAATGTGCATTGAACACCCAAACATTAAAAGATAAATACTCTATTCCGTGCTTAGCTGATTTTACTGCTACATTGCATGGTACTAAAATTTTTAGTCATGTTGACCTGATCAAGGCATATCATGAGATACAAAACCGCCATATGTACACCATTAAATTTATGCAAAAGCACTAATACGTTACATAATTTGGCTTATGTAACGTATTAACGACTTTTCAATGTTTTATAGACAAAGTCACGTTTGATTTAGAAAGTGTTTATGCTTTTGCTGACTACTTGCTCATAGCCTGTAAAGATTCCAAGGAACACTTGCAGCCATTTGAAAGCCTTGTTTTCAAAATTTGAGGCCTATGGACTTAGCATAAATGTTGCAAAATCCATCTTTGTTCAAACATTTCTTGATTTCTTAAGTTTTCACCTTAGTGGAAACGGAACTGAACCTCTTTCTGGTGAAGTCAAATATA